CTTCAGGGACTGATGAAACTATGTCTCATGCTGCTATAAGGAATGGCATGTGTGGCTGGATGTGTACATTCTTGCATGAATAGGAATAGCAGAATGTGCAACATCTTGTTTAAACTCTGAAAGCTGTCTGCAAAAGTTTAGAGACCAGTGTGGTGAAATTGACAAGGCACTCCTTTTTGTCAGGAGCTCGTCCTACACTAGAGTAGGACCCTGGCAGAGACAAATGCCCGACTGGCATGTTCTCTCCCTCCTGGTCGATTGTTCAGGAGCTTCAGAAGCTTTCTTCAGCCCAAACATCACAGCGACCAATGCCAACAGACACTGGCACACTTAGGGATCCACAGAGTCTTCGCAGTTGCATAACAGACCTCAGCAACTCAGCATTTTGGCTAATCTACATTATTTACATATAAACACACACGGAGCACTGAAACATGGCTCCCTCTCTCTAGCATCAGACAGCAAAGAGAAAAAGAACAAAGGACAATAGTCCCACTTCACAGAACACAGTAACACAAACATCCTGTCTCCGTCACTTCCCACTCTGTGGAGTCAAAACATATACCGTCATGTGAAAGACAACAATCCCATGACTACAATCATCGAACAGGAATTCTAACACTTTTACCTCTATAGACAGATGGCACTCTGCTGCAGAACTGGAATGGATAGCCTCTTACCAATTTCCACAATGCATGCAATCATTTTTTAATATATATATATATTTCCCCCAATATTCTATAGCAATTAAATGCAGGAGGCATCTATTTCATAGTTGTAACACAGTCTCCTAACAACTCTCAGCACCTTTAACAAACTTCACCTTCCAGAATTCTTTGGGGGAATCATGACTGTTTAGTACAGTATCACAGTGCTTTAAATGCATGGTGTGACTATGTTCTATGAGTTTCTCTCTGCGGAGGGATAGCAATGGGGCAAACCAGCTTTAGCAAACCAGCTATAGCAGAGGTAGCCAATGTTGGACTACAATTTCCATCATTCCTGCTGGACTACAACTTCCATCATTCCAGATAGTTGACCATGTTAGCTGGGATTGATGGGAGATGGAGTACAGTGGTACCTCGGGTTAAGTACTTAATTCGTTCCGGAGGTCCGTTCTTAACCTGAAACTGTTCTTAACCTGAAGCACCACTTTAGCTAATGGGGTCTCCTGCTGCTGCCGCTCTGCTGGAGCACGATTTCTGTTCTCATCCTGAAGCAAAGTTCTTAACCTGAAGCACTATTTCTGGGTTAGCGGAGTCTGTAACCTGAAGCGTATGTAACCTGAAGCGTATGTAACCCGAGGTACCACTGTACTACCAAATCTGGAGAGCACTATGTGGGCTACCCTGAAATATAGAGTCCCAAAGAATGGAGGCTGTGGTGTATTATTTGATGGGAACTCTAGTAAGCAGCTTTTCTTTGCTGCTGACTAGGCTACAGCATTATGATCTAGTAACTCCCTTAATTCAACACATTTGCTGGAAGATGGACCAGCATTGCCTTATCTGTCACAGGTGAAATCACATTAACATGAATATCCATTCATAAAGGCCATAAAGACACCTTTATAGTCACATTTGATTTATATTCCATGAAAGAGTCTCTTCAGCTCTCCCATGATAGCTAGTCTATATAAACTTGCTTTTTTAGTCAATGAGAGTTTTTATGGTTTCAGCAAATCAGAGCTTAGGAGAATGTTACAAGCTAGTGAGCTGTGAGGCAAGATGAAATCTTCCCCGAGGCCTCTGGATGGGAAGCAGAACCTGCAGAGCTCTCACGTTTGATTGATAAAGTCCTATTTGAAATGAAATGCTAAGATAGGCAAAATGAATGGGCATCTTATTTTATAAGAATAAATACGATAGATGTCAACAAATTCAATTTCTTTTGCAGTGGCAGGATGTAAAACGCAATGTTGGCAAAATCTGTCTTCAGAATGAGACATAATACATGCATATATAATTTTATTTGTATGCTGCCTTTCCACAGTTCAAACCATGTTCATAGTGGCTTACAACATGAAAAAATATGTGACTACAACATAACAGAAGTAATCATAAACAATAAATAAAACATGAAAGAATACACAGCCAACCTCAATAATCTCCACATAAATCACAATATCTAATACAAAGATACAACCCCCCCATCCCTACCAACACCCCAGCCCTAGTGTCTGTCCAGCAGCCTCAGCTTTGAATCAGGGTCCTGCCCTCTCAGGCCAGGTAAAAAAGGCCTGCAAATCAGGGAGAAGGTCTTCCAGGACTCACAGCCAAGATGGTCTTAGACATGTGAAGATCATTGTACCATGCATTCCATCACTGTCCCATGATCTTTCTTTCCAGCTACCAGTTAATTAGTAAGCTCAAGAGGTTTGTTGTTTGGTGTGTTTTGTGGTATTAGCCACATAAACAGAAGCCGGACTACACAACCTACCAACTGCTGACTGTGCTTCCTATTCAGGTGCAGCCAGCATTTAAGCTGGCTTTGGCTCTGCCTTCTAAAGGCCATGACTGGCCAGTTTGAATACAATTTTGAGCAGGGCATTCCGTTAGATCCTGCAGCCAGCCAAGGCCACACATTATGTCAGCTGGCCACGCGGGCGACGGTCCCCCTCTTTCCCCAGCTCCCCGAAGTTGCACCGGGCCACAATTGCTGCTGTCCCCACAAAGGTAAGTGGTCTTTTTACTCACAGTAGACCCACTGAAATTAATTAACGTGGCTAATTTAACCCATTAATTACAATCAGTGTATTTTGAGTAAAGCTTAGTTGACTACCCTTAGTAATTATATTATCTAATCCTTACTTTTCTAGATGTTTCATCCACAGATGATGAAAAGATGGCAAAGTGATTAAAGTGAGCTGAGGGTTCAGGGGGTATACCTGCTTAAAAACATAACCAATGGCTCATAGGAATCAGACAAAAGCATTATGTTGTAAAATCCTGCCATTTAGTTTTGTGCAAAATGTTTCACATTTCAGTTCCACCTTCTCCTTCAGCACAGCGATCTCTCCTACCCTGTATAACTTGCATGAGGCATTAAATGACAGCATAAATTTGTTTAACAATCCTTAACTGCACTGTGTGCCCCTAGCTATGTCTGACATATGAAAGTATACAGTCAGATGCATCTGTATTAATAAAGGCCCATTAGGAAATGTTGAGTAAATGCTTATTAGAAGTATTATGCACGGAGACGTGACTCACCGTATCTCGTAATGAACCATGATCACTGATGATCAGACCATGGCATCTGATTTGTTTTCCGTGAAATGCTCCTGATTTGCTTGAAAATGCTTCTGAGTTTCCGAAGGAACGTTGGTGGCAGTCATGCAGCCTGATCTTGTTCCCACAGAGTCGTGCTTTCTCCAAAATGCATATGATGGCAGCTTTAAGGTAATTCACAGGAATGGCTGATTTATGTATTAATGATTAAAAAAACTTATACCCAACATTTCAGTATCCAGAGTTGTTGTTGTTGTTTAGTCGTGTCCGACTCTTCGTGACCCCATGGACCGGAGCACGCCAGGCACTCCTGTCTTCCACTGCCTCCCACAGTTTGGTCAAACTCATGCTGGTGGCTTCGGGAACACTGTCCAACCATCTCATCCTGTGTCGTCCCCTTCTCCTTGTGCCCTCCATCTTTCCCAACATCAGGGTCTTTTCCAGGGAGTCTTCTCTTCTCATGAGGTGGCCAAAGTATTGGAGTCTCAGCTTCAGGATCTGTCCTTCCAGTGAGCACTCAGGGCTGGTTTCCTTAAGAATGGGTAGGTTTGATCTTCTTGCAGTCCATGGGACTCTCAAGAGTCTCCTCCAGCACCATAATTCAAAAGCATCAATTCTTTGGCGATCAGCCTTCTTTATGGTCCAGCTCTCACTTCCATACATCACTACTGGGAAACCATAGCTTTAACTATACGGACCTTTGTCGGCAAGGTGATGTCTCTGCTTTTTAAGATGCTGTCTAGGTTTGTCATTGCTTTTCTCTCAAGAAGCAGGCGTCTTTGAATTTCGTGGCTGCTGTCACCATCTGCAGTGATCATGGAGCCCAAGAAAGTAAAATCTCTCACTGCCTCCATTTCTTCCCCTTCTATTTGCCCGAGTAGCGATGGGCAAATTTTAGTACAGTCAGTGAAGCATGTGCCTCTTAATCTCAGGGCAGGAGGTTCGAGCCTCACATTGGACAAAAGATTCTTGCAATGTAGGGGGTTGGGCTAAAGGACCCTCGTGGCTTTTTCTAACTCTACAATTCTATGAAATATGTCAATTTTTGATTCACCCAGTTTCTCATTTTTCTAATATTAAATTCAGTTCACATTACTGCATCAATTTGTGGTCATTACTCTTATTCATATTAAAAATCATTATGAAATTCCTCAGCATTTTAGTGCAGATTTCTCCTAATTAACACATTTTTAAATGCAGTTTTGACTTGGCTTGGGAACTGCACTGAAAAATTCAGATAAGTACAAAGTTCGAAAGATGGCTGTGTTTCAGTTCTCATATTGTTTCGAAAGTGCAAATTTGTTAAGTTTGCCTTTAAATCTAGACCATTCCTAATCTAGAGAAATTTACTCCTGAACTGACACAATAAAACCAATAAAGCAATAAAGGTAACATTAAAATGCAGAGGAGAGCATGGAGGCAGCCAGCCCTCTTCCACAGTGCAACTGATGTGCTTTTTCTGCTGCTATGAAAAACTGCTTTTATTCTATTATATATTTGACTGGAATGCTACATCCTGCCTCACATGGGACATAACATTTAAAACACATAAATCACCACAGGACTCTACTGTAAAACCAGCCTTCAGTTCTAACAAAATGGAGTCCTTAAAGGAAGAAAGGAAGACATTTTATGGGACACAAGGATAAAGTATGTTTGGTAAAATTATACTTTTGAAAAAGCTCTACTTCCCTAAGCAGTGAGAAGTTCCTGTACTGGTTGTGCTTGGTGTCCTTTGTTCAAGGAGAGAGCACTAGAGACAAAGGTATAGTATATAGCTCAGTCAGTAGAGTATGTGATTTGTAATCTCAGGGTTGTGGGTTCAAGCTCCATGTTGGGCAGAAGATTCCTGCATTGCAGGAGGTTGGACTAGATGACCCTCATGGTCCCTTCCAACTCTACAGTTCTATGATGCTATGTACAATTATACACTCACATACGCATGACCTACTCCACATCAGATACATGCACCACGAACTTTCTTCCTACTTGGCGTTCTTGTCTTTCACACACCAACACATATTTCACATGCTCCTTTCCTTAAAGTTTAGCCAGAGAGGAGTGTCACCTAAAAATTCTGATGGCTGTTTTGTTCAAACACGCCGAGAGATTTCTGACATTCTTTCAAACACTGAAAGAAAACAACAACCAACCATTATGGACGGTTAATCAGCAATATACCCAATGAAAGGAAATATTTAACAACACCACTTAGATGTCTGTAGCTATTTACAGTGGTACCTCTAGTTACGAACTTAATTCGTTCCGGAGGTCCGTTCTTAACCTGAAACTGTTCTTAACTAGAGGTGTGCTTTCGCTAATGAGGCCTCTTGCCGCCGCCGCGCCGCCAGTACACGATTTCCGTTCTCATCCTGGGGCAAAGTTCTCAACTTGAGGTAGCTCTTCCAGGTTACCAGAGTTTGTAACCTGAGGCATTTGTAACTCGAGGTACCACTGTATTTCTGTTCACCTTTAGACTGTATTTTTGCACAAAGAAACCCATCTAAAACAAATCAGTGCAGAGGCAGATTTAGGGGAGCGTGACCAGTATGATTGCACTGGACATAGTGCCTTGGGGACACCACAACAGTGATGTAGAATGGAAGGTTAGAGGCGGGGAGCGCCAAATTTTGGCCAGCGTTATTGTCCTTAGGGCCAGACCAGGGTTTTGGTTGTGGATTCCGACTAGCAGTGGCTCTTCAGGATCTCAGACACCTGTTACCAGCTACTGGAGATCATTTGAATGGAAGGATGCCCAGAGGGCAGACTTCAGCCCTGCGTGCAAAGCTTGTGCTCTACTACTGTAAAAAATGAAATTGTTCAGGAATTGCAAAATTATTTTTGGGATTCCACATTCATTTTCCCCCAAACTGCACTCAGAATGCAATCAGAAGTGAGATTAGAAACTCACTGTATATGAAACTCAGGCAAACTTAGACACACATACATCTAATTTTGGCTATTCTCCTCTGGAGGAAAAACCTTGGATGGACATATTTGGCTCTTCCGTGACTGCAGCAAGAATGTCATTGGATGCTAATTCAGAGTGACAGTTGCATCATATATATATATATATATATATATGTATATATATATATATATCATTGCCAGCAATCAAATCCAAATTAAAAATCCAGCCTTCTGCATTGCCAAATACATGGTGCCCACTAAATATTTCATGCTCTAAAGCAGCTGTTGAAAAGAGCAAAAATTAGTTTCCAAGCCTATATGTATTTAGGTGTTATGTTACATTTGAAAACGAGGGGGTGGAAGTGCAGTTACCCTTAAAAGGATTAGGACTTTCCTGTGACACAGTTCCCAAGAGCACTACCAAGGCTTAAAAGCATTCTTCTGTTTTGTGGAAGCATGTGTGCATGTTTGATTGAGTGGAAGGAGTGCAAGGGGGAAAATGAGATCACAAATGTATGTTTTGGCTGCCATGAAGTCAATACAGTAATAGGTCGGCAGAAACATCAAAACACAATCATGAGCTGTCTTCAGGGCTGAGAGTGAGCACAACTGGAAGGCAATCAGCCAATGGCAAGGAAAAGGCATTCTCTCTCCATCTTCTAGCTCACCCGTGATACTGGAGGAACTAGATAGTATACTAAATATCAGCTGATATGTTTGGCAGATACCAATAATTTCAGTGGTGTTCCCACATCTCTTGAATTTTCTCCAAAGAGAAGTTCTTATGGCCTCTTTACTGAACCTTCAAGCTGAACTTAAAATCCTTTCTGTTATGCTCAGCATTTTTTTGATTTGTTATTTGTACTGGCGGTGTTGGCTGTCATTATTATTATTATTATTATTATTATTATTAATATTATTCCCTGCCCAATCTGTTTACTGCATCTAATACATTTTATTATTAAATGTATTTATTTAATGTATTTAAAACAATCATGAGTTGTTTTCAGGGCTAAGAGTGAGCACCACATTAAGGTATTTAATTATTTAAATATATTTATTTAATGTATCTAATGCAATGTATTTTTTTTATTTTTTTGCAAGACATAATGGACATAAAGGACATAGATCAATTAAACCGTTATATGTTGCAAATCATCCTTCTAAATAACCATACTATCAGAGTTTTAATACTGCACTGATAGTTAATAAATTTCTGTTGACTTCAAACGATTTCTCAGCATTGGACCTGACTGGTTTTGAACAAGCGGCAATGTTCAATATCAGTGTTCCAACTGTAAAATGGGTATAATCATGAACCACCCTCATTCCTCTGACAGGCCTACAATTTCTAGAGTGGTTTAACAATCGATCCCTCTTCAGAGGGAACTCAGAATACTGTGATTGAGATGGAGGTTTCCTAGCAACTCTCAGCATCCTTAGCAAACAACAGCTCCCTGAATTCTTTGGGGGAAAACCTTGACTGTTTAAATTGCTATTATAAGGCTTTAACTGTATGGTGTGAATTTGGCCCTTATCTGTCTGTGTCTCTATATTTATACACTCATACACAGCCAATATCTATTCTATGCACATCTCAAAATGTTTAGCTAATGTACACCTTGCATTTACAGCTGGAGCAATTTCTTCTCTCTACCTAAAAGGGGACCCCTTACTGTTGCCAGGCATGACACGAGATGCTGAATCTCTCTCATGGGCCTTCTTTTGAATACACAATCCCACACCTACAAAAGAGGAGGGAACATTATCTCCCTGCATTTTAAGTCATACTAAATCATATTTAGCACCTCACCTCGCTACTTTGTATCTGCCAGGCTCCCTGCAGTACAGGAGCCAAAGGACTAAAGAGATGGAAAGCGCTGTCAGTGAAGGGTGAATGTATATTATAGCTATTAATCCTGTCGAGAAATATCCTTTATTTAATATTTATATATGTGGGAACTCTTGTACTAATGGTCTTGAAATAAGCAGATTCGGATATTTTAGATGGCGCTCTGTTAGCTGGAAGGACCATTGCAAAACAGGGGCTGGCAGCAATATGGAATTATAGCAAAGGCTTCAGGCTACTTCTGCGTTTTCTTCTTGTCGCATACGAATGAGTCCACTGTGGCCAGGTTCCAACCCGTTACATTCCAGTCTGTCAGGCTCAGCAAGGCTCTCCTGCCACGCACACTCTAAGCTTCCTTGAGGTTTCATTTCACCTTTTTCAGGTCACCTGGAAATGATTGGGACTTGTAAGGATGCAGCTGGCAGCAAGGGCGTTTCAGGGCACAACTTCCCTGATAAAGATTTTGTCAAAAACAAAAAAACGACAGCACTGCCTTAGGCTACAGTCCAAAACATGCTTACAGCAAAATCCTGTGCAGTGGGATGAAGTCAGTCCCACTGAGTTCAATAGCAAATACGGGTAGGATTGTAGCTTCATTGGAGAGCAAGTCTCATTGAACACAGTAAGATTTCTAAAGTACCAAGGGCAGAATTGCACTGTTCAGGTCCATGTTGAAGATCATGTGAATTCTGTGACAGGCAACTTAAAGCCACAAATTGTTTTTATTTCTGTTTAAGACATTTATCCCCTGCTTTCGCTCTGTGTCCTTAGCAGGGCCTGTTCACCCATGAGGTGGACTGAGGCAGCTGCCTATGGTCAGGTGATCTGACACTAAGTAAAAGCGAAACGAAAGAAATGCCATGGTCAGACCACATCCTGGTGCAACTTGACTTCTCCGCGACCCTTCCCCTCTGCAGGGAGGTGGGACCGATTCGGATGGTCCGCCCCCGCCACTTAATGGATCCAAATGGTTTCCAGAGAGTGGTAGGGGATGCTTTATCCCATGTTGATGGCCTTTCATTTTTTTTTTTTTTAAATCATATTTATTAAAGTTTCCAAAAATATAAAAGTACAAAGAAAAAAGACAAAAGAAAGAAGATATTTAAAAACCTTACTTTCATTCCCTACTTTCTGGAACTCCCCCCCCCCCAATTGTATTCCCCTTTCCTTAATTTGGTTCTACAAGCTCTCACTCCCAAATTTAAAGCTTAATTTGTTTAACCCACTATCCAAATTGAATTGTACAAATCTTACCACCGTCCCACATCATTAACCGACACATAACACAGATTTTCCCCAAGATCCACCCCAGTTCCTTCCACAAATTCCCTTTTTTTAAACACGTCCGATCAAAGTAAAATAACATGCGTAAGTTATATAAAGAAATAGAAAATAAGAGATATAGAAAAGTTCAAAAAATGGTTACACAGCCTTTGGATTTCAAATCTCCCCCCTTCCCCGGTTTGAATTCCCCATGTCCATCAGTCTATACATTATCAGCTTGGAAGTCTCATTTCATGACCAGATTTCTCCCCGATTCCATCTTGCCGGTTTTCTTCTAGTTTATTAATTTAAATAATATTTGACTTCAAATGTCCAATCTAACAAAGGCCTTTAATTTCCTTGATCTTTACCACTCCTCCCGTTGTTCTTTCCGTGTCGTAATCAGTCCTTTATTCTTCTTATTCCTCACTTTCTCAGGTTTCTTGTCCTGTTCAGCTGCTAAAAACTTTCTAATTCAGAAATCTAGTGTCTCTGCAGAGGTTTGTTATTCAGGAACAAAAACTTACGTCCAGTCCCTTTCTTTCTTCAATAAAAAATTCCATTGTCTTCCTCTGTAGACAAAATACTCTTTCAGTTTTGCAGCTTTCCCAGAAGATAACAAATCCTGTGCGAATCCCAGGGTATTTTTCCACTTACGACCGTTCTTGTAGTATCCTGAAACCCCTCTAGGGGATTGTAATAACTTTGTATCCTCTAATCCAAAAGTCAAATTGTTGCTTATTTTCCAACAGTTTATATCCATATTATAGCAAATTGTAGCAAAATTTACCAGCAAGGTCCTCATAAAGTCCTCTTTAT